TCTTCTGCCAACCAGTGACTTGTGAAGACTTCATGACCTATCCTGCTGATGCGGTGTGAATAACGTCGATGGACTGTTTTGTGAGCGCAACTCTAGNCTCTAGATTTGGCACAATCGAGTGTGACCTATGAGGGATTCGAGGGATGGAGGGGAGTGTGATTGTTTGCAATAATACATTTGTTTTTAAGGCGCTTCTCTTGTCGGTCGAGCAAGTATACGGTCTGGTCCACCCAGTGTAATCGAAAATGTTTTACATGCTCAAGTGAAACTCTGACTCTCCGGAATCCGAGGAACCTGGCGGCATCCTCCAACTTGTTCACTCCGCCACCACCAAGTGGTTGATGGGGAACGAGGGTAAATATTCTACCGACAAGCAATTTTGTGAAGTAACAAGTGAGATTTGGATTTTAATCAAAAGAACACAGTTGTTTTGTGAAAAACATGATATAATCGCTACCCTATACCCCACGAGCCCTGTTTGTTTTTAATCGGTGCATGCCGGTAACTGTCCCTTTGGAAGCGCTTACTTCGCAACGGTATTCGCGCTTTGTATCCTATTCCGGCAGAGTTCAAAACGTTGACTTTGCAAATTTTTCTAATGGCGCACCGTGTGACATAAAACAAGAGAGGTGGTAAGTACCCCATATGTTCTCCATGGCTTTGCGTCCGCGCGTGGCAGTCAGTAACCTTGTGATTTTGTGGTTTGTACAAACGGCGCATCACATGTGAATCTGTTAAATGTGAGCAAAGCACATCCACCCACATCTGTATGAATGGATGGTGCAAAATTGACAGTATCTCAGTGTGTTTTTGTGGTCAATTCAAGCATCAAATGTGCACATATTTCAACCAACTTCCCCTCTGTCTTTCAGGGGATAAAAATCAGTCAACAGCAGCAGCAGCAAGATTATTTGTATCGATTTTATACCCATAGTCATTATTGTTATCCGACTTAGTCGTTATGGTTATTTCCGGCCCGAATGCAAATTGGATTCGTCATGCAATACTCCCGGTAATTTTCCAATTGTGCACTCCATTTCTCTTTCAGTCAACTGGAACAATTGGACACACGGATATCGCAAACTGTTTCCTCCATTCTTCAACAATTACAGACCAATCTTAACGTGCAATTGAACTCGGCAGCAGGACGGACCAATACACTGGTGCCACCTCAAGTTTGAGCGCATTCGTTTCCGCTCATGATCCACTCAAACTCACCGTTATTCTCGCAAACTCACTTCCCCGTCCCGTTTCTCTCTCTCTCGCTCGGATTATCTCATCTTTCATACTCATTTTGTCTGTGTCCGGCTGCTGTCGTTTCTCTGCTGGCAGAAGCTATGGCTCATCGCATTCGAACTAGTCTTCCAGTACGACCAGTGCAGTCAGTGCACTCCAGGTTCTCAGTGCTTCACTTCGTGCATTCACCATATTGGTGTATATGTCGCATGCCTTTCTTCCGGCCTAACAATTGTTCTTGTGTACGTTGATCTCATTCCGCTCGGGATGTTCCGTGCTGACACATCAACTCATTCTCAATATTGACCGTGTCAGGACACATCCAGGAATCGTGTTTTTTATAGTCCCATTGTAGTATCCGATCCACTTCACTGTACCCAACCACCACATTGTTTGTCCCACACAATGTATCGTTCCTTTCTGTGATAGACGACTACAAACATGTCATTTTCTTGTGCAAATTGTTCTCACTGTTACATTCGGATTCCAACGATCTATTCGTGCTGCTTCCGACAGTTCTGACTTCTCTTGCGCCCGCTCTCTTTCGAGATGTTTCCCTTGTCCACAGTAGTAGGCACGCGCGTTTACACTGATCATTGGCAACCTACCTTCTCCATCCTGCATTGCACTCTTCGACACCTGTCTCGACTGTTCCCTTAATCACAACCCTTGGTCCTGTCCAATACGGGGTCTCTCATCGAACCCCAATTAACCTGTTCCCCAAATTATTTCCTCATTCTTTCGATCGATGTGCGTGCACATGTGCGGTTCAATTTTTCATCTGGTTCCGGTCGCGTTCAGTCCTCCCTCATTTGCCATCCGAAGCACACGTGCACTCATCACTCTGGACGGTTTGACCCCTCCCACACCGCTCCAGGTTGTGTGATCCGTCCATTCGGATCAACCTTGATCGTCATTTCTATTCTCTTCTTCTGTACACTTTACCCGACCTCATCTTATCACACAAACATGCGCATCTCAATAGACCGCGCTTTCGATTATAAAAATTCTCTTTTACAGCTCACTTATCCTCTGAATCAGTCTATCGGAGAAGGAAGGAGATCAGTCCTATATCCGCTCGGATTCGAATTCTCCAGCTGTTTTCAAATTCCTGGTTCCGTCTCTTCCTCATTTCTGTCGCTGTCAAATGCCTCCATGTCTTTCAATTGCTCCCTGTCTCTCTCACACTGTCAATGGAAATATGATGTCTGCGTACACGGGTCCAAACTGCAGTCATTTAATCATTCAATCGTATATTTACCTACTCATTGTTTGTTTGTTCGTTTGGATAATAATACTAATAATTCCAAAACTGTCATGCCATGTCTAGTCCGACGATGCAGTTGTCGTTTACTTCCTTTCCACATGTGATCACTTTTTTTAGATAGCTTGACCGGTGTTGATCTTCACTTTCATCTCATTAGCATCTGCGTACAGAATTACAATCACAGTGCACACACACAGTCAATCATTTTCGAGTTTTTATCGAGAAAGTTCTGGTTCCCTGTTCCCTCCTCCCCCCCTTCCAGATTGATTGTGACTAGCTCTTTTCGCCTTATTAGGCATCTCCCTGAACCATCCGCTACGACTAGTCCCACAGACTTCACTGTTCAGCTCGATCTCAGATGTGTAGAGTTGCTTACGCCCGTTTCGGGTTGCCCTTGGTGAACGCATTTTGTAGATTTGTAACTATCAAACACATACCATGGATTGCGGTGAAATCGACAGTTTTTTTGTATTGCATTTCTTGACTCTTCTCTCTCGTCCGCGTCCTCTTTCTCTCGGGATCGCATCCTCTATTCCACCCTTTTTGCATTTGAATCTGTCCTATCTTTGTTTTCTCATTCTATGTTCCCATCAGTCCAAGGTTAGTTGCACACACACTGTCCCTCGTTTTCCACCCCATACTCCTCCCCCCAAAGTCACACCTTGCACATAACTCAGATTTGAGCCTCGTACAATTCTCAACCGATTAGTCACAATCACTGTTTCCGAAGCTCATTTTGTACCCCATCACGTTACTTGTTTTCCCTGATCTAGTTCACTTTACATGTACACATGGATGCTCTACCCCTGCAGAACGCGTGTGAAGTGCAATAAATACAAGTTCATATATAGTCTCCGATAGTTTTCTCTCTGTCTCAGGATTCTGAACACCTGTATCCTTCTGTATGCTTCGCTTTGTTCTCTGTGTGTTCCTTTTGTGGTCTGAAGTACAGTTGCTCTGTTCCCACACTCCACTAATCGAGATCAGTTTGATGGATACTGTATTTGCCTTGTTTCTCACCAGTCAGCATTGCATCCCGCCCATCCCCTGACTATTAACCCCAATGTGGGCGGTGTTGCGCGGTGTTACTAATACGGTTTTATGCGCTATGTCACATCCGCAGTGATATTCTGTGTGATGACCGATTTCTGTGTGTTTTGGCTCATCAGCATTGCCGCTGTCCGAAAACGACCGCTAATCTCATTAACGGCGATCAACTTAAGTGCATGTCTGTGTGCCTCTGTGTGTGATCGGATTCCCGAGGAGGTGGACCATAAGCGTGGTTATAGAACTCGGAGGCGGTAAAACGAGGCGCTCGAATCCTGTAGGGGCGTCTTACTAAGGCAGCATATGTCCATGACAGGCGTTTCCGATGTACTAACTAGTGTTGCCTGAGTCAAACTTCAGCTGCAATCGGGGCGCGAGTGCAATTTTCCGAACCACCTGAGCTGGTTCCTGTTTATTTTCCGTGGTCTTGGGTAACACAATGTTGGAAACTCGTAACTATGGATGGTAGGCCGAGAATACGAAAGTTAAGCAATTGTAGACCGGAGAGAACGCGATCTGTTGCTTCGGTAACATGGAAATTTGTGCCGCCGACCGCCAACAACTCGGTCAAAAGCAGCACAGTTTGTGAGTCAACTTCAAAAACCTGTAGAATGGGTGTCGATAGGTTGTGTGGGCATGTTACTTCCCAGTTGCCCTGATCGATGAAAGGGGATAACCTTCGGGTCCCCGCCCGAGGCGTTTTGCTAGAAAGCCTGACTTGCATGACAACAGGACGGAGCTTGGAGACCGCAGTACATTGGGGCTGGTGCCCATTTCATCGGATCATATGCCCCATGGACGGGATCAAACGTCCAAAGTGCCCTCCATGTTCAATTGAGCTGTCAACCAGGATTAGGTGGGTGGGTATGATTCGTGATTGGTTCGGATTTTTTCCAACTCTCCTAGATGAATTGTCACTGTTTCCCCTCACCGGTTATAACCCCGGATTTGGGCTTTGCGGTAGCTGTGCACATATGTCACACGGCACGTAATTAAATTAAGACAATATCAACAAATGAACATAACCTTGACTTCGTGTGTCTGTTCGTCTCTTGTATACTGTTACATGGATTTTTTTCCCGCTTCGTTCCAATCGATCTGTTTTTTTTGAGTCTATGTACTCCGATCTCCGCCCTGTCAGTGAGATCATTCGATTCATTGTCTTCCTCTCTCACTCGTTGCTGTGGGCATTCCAACCAATCACAGTTTCTCCCTCCCCTCCGTGTGTGTTGCTTTGAGCTGAGGGTTGCGGTCTTTGCTTATCACTTTGTTTGATTGTTCTTATGAACTTCAAAACTGCGCTGTCCTTTATTGCGTTATTTTAATTGTGATCTTTATATCACGTGATCTGCTTGCACCTAGTTGACCGTTGATTCTTTGTTTTGTCAATGCAATTGTGTTTAACTTTATGTATCGCATTTTCTGTTATTTTCTTGCAGCCCAGGACAAGATGCCTGCGTCCGGTCCGTTTTCCAAAATGCCCGTTCCCGAGACCACTTTACGCGAATGGGCCAAATGTGTCATGAACCCTGAAGCCACTCTAGTGGAACGGTCCCGAGCCTTGTGGGGATTACGGCATGCAGGTGAAAAATTGGCCATCTCGTTGATCGGTGAATTCCTATGCGATGTTGTCGAACCGTCTCCGGTTGCAGATGCTCTGTTGCAACACGAGGCCGCCTATTGCCTCGGACAACGGGGTGATCCGGAAGCGGTGCCCATTTTAATTGCGGTGATGCGTGACAACAGACATCACCCTGTTGTGAGACACGAGGCTGCAGAAGCTCTGGCTGCGCTGTGCGGCTCTCCCGGTGTGGATATGGACCAGGTGGAACGTGAACTAAAATTGTTCGTCGACGGAGATGTAACCGAGGTCAGTTGTCCCATTGGAAACGAAAATCAGTTTTATTCGAAAAGGGTTTAACTCGAAGTTTCTATAGGGACCAAGACCCAACGGAAATTGTTTCAGTCTTTCAGGAAAATTTTCTTTGCTCAACTCGAATGAAATGGCTATCGTGTTTTTCAAAAAAGGTTCAAACAGCCTTAGTTATCAGTTCGTAGTGAACATTCGTTTGGGTTACAAAACAATTGCTTAGGGTTCGTGTTTTTTTTTTGTATTTCACTCGATTTTACTTCTATCTAAACGTGTTAGCACTGTGGTCTGTTTGCGGTTTCCATTTAATCCGTTCAATGCAAATAGCTTGACAGGTGATAGAATATCACACGATTGGATGCGATGCTTTTGAGGCATGCGGTATGGCTCTNCTCTCGTGCTTTCTCTTCAACTCTCTCATACACACGTACACTGACCCCGAATGAATTCAAGCGTTTCCGTTCCGGTGCTTCGTGAACGCAATTCTTATTTAATTTCGGTGATTAGCTTCAAACCCGAATTGTGCCACTCTCCAAATATACTGGTCGATCCATTCGACCCTTCAGTATGTTCTCCCTATTACGTTTCCGCACGGCTTATTCCTCACTTCGCATGACGTACTGACTGACACCTTACTCACAAGGCTCTGGTCAAGATTCGCTTACCCATTAAACGGTTGTAGTCACTACGCACTAAAGTGATGTCTGACTGCTTATTTCAGTTTTTTTT